GGGGCTGGGGAAAAAGGTAAGGTTGTCGATCAGATTACTATTACAGATGTAGACATAGGGTGCAAAATTCAAAATGGTCTATCCCGCCGTCGGGGAAATCCAGTCCCATGTTTTGACCATCATGGATTTCCCCATTCGGCTTTCTTGTCGCAGGTTCAGCCAGCCTCGACCGTTTTTCCCTTGAAACCCCGCCCCGGGCCCTTATATCTGGCTGTAGTATAGCCAGAAATACCATGATAGGAAACCGGTTCTCGCGGGAGTCTCCCTCGCTCTCTCTCTCTCTCCCCTTGGAAGGGCAACGCCCTGTGTCAATCTTCTGTACCTTAAGCTCAAACGAGGGAGGGAAAGAAAGCCAAGAAGGCCACTACGCTGCATCCATGGATCATCGCTCTCCTCTCTCCTAGGGATAAACCGTACATGTCTCACCAGTGTTCCCCTCCATGCAAGTGACCAAATTTTAAATAAATTACTGGGGTTTTAGTCTGGTATCTAGAGTCTTCTAGGCAGTTGTCTAGAGAGTTTAGACTACGTCTAGCGACGTGGTATAGAGTTATAGTTCAGGTACCGTGCAAGGTACAGTAATGGGAGTAAGACATCTATAGAACCTAACGATCTAGGACGACGTCGGTAGTTCAGGTCTGTCCCGGGCAAAATACTGTGTATCGCAACGGACGATCACCGCACCTGGAAACAAAGTTACACCATGCTCAATGGAGTATATATATATATATATGCTTCTATAAAGTATCGGGATCGATGGTTGTCGGGAAGTGATGTGCGAACCTCCGACGGTTGAAGCAGACTCTTCAGGATTTTCGGAGGGTAAATGCGGGATGAAACGTTGCTCTCAGCGTCGGCCGGTGGGTCAGACGCTCTCGTTCTTGTCCACGAACAAGACTATTGACCAAAATTAGGTTGGTAGCTCAGGATTAATTAAATTTTTAGTCACGGCCTTGGATGACTGGGCCATTTAATCGGGAATCCATGGCTGTCTATCCACGGTACAGGTTAATTTCATGTCATTCGGGTAAGAAAAAATGGCCGGTGAACTGATCGATGGATCGATTTCCGCCTTTATTGGCTGATCTTAACAGGAGGTATTAAATACGGTTTAAGTAATCTTCACGATTGGCACAGGCATGATACTACGTAGACTCTCAGAGAACTCCATCCCTCAGGTATAATCAATAACAAGAATCAGGGAGCGGGTATGGTGTATTTAATTTAACCAACGTTTGTGACGTGCCGTACGTTACTGATTGATGAGGATCACAATAGTCATAAGTGCCAGTGTTATAGCGATGGGGTCGGTGGAGTGTCGCATCATTTACCTCTGCCACATGGCATGATAGAGGCATATCTTAATGTCACCCGTTATGATGTGTCGTCGGTGTAGAAGAGCCAAGATTTCCGACGGGATCTGGAATGTCCGTTAGTAACAGGAGGGAATCCTTTACTAACTAGGTAGCATACTACTATACATACGTACGGAGTATACTAGTACTACTACTACCATAGTACAGTCGTCGGTACCTCAGGATCTCAAGATCCGTGATCCTCTGTCCTCCTGACTAAGCCTGGCGGACTGACCTTTATCCACCTTGTTTGGGTTGGACGCATGACACTAAATCATATATGCATCTAACTCCGACATACTATGTTAAATATATATTCGTGAAACTGAAAGGGTTGCATTGGATGCATCGACTCTGTGCCCAAAAACATGACGACATCCCTTATGAAGGAATTCAAGCTGACATGCGTTGCTGCTACTGCGGGATTCTATTCTTAGTATCGTTTCTGGGAGAAAGAAGGGTACCGATACCCAAAACATTATCCACTGAGAAACTTACGGTTCGGCTAATATTTTCGTCTAGTCTATCTCTAAAAAAAAACACCCCCCAGAGGTCTTTGCAAGTGACTGAAGAGAAGAGAAGTTTGGGATGCACAAGACCCCATATTGTTCTGTTGATATATTTAGCAATTGGATACTACTTCGGTGTTGTTCCGTGGGTGAGAGAATGTCAACCCGTCCTTCGCTACGGGGGACCTCCGCAACGACCTTCGGAAATGACCTAAGATGAACCCATTCACACCAAACAGAAGAGACATCAGATCCCCAATATACACACGCTAGTCGCCGAAACAGTTGCAACGAGAGGGAAAGGGGTCGTGCGGCTACTCCAAAGGTACCATCCACTGAGCAGCAGAACGGTGTTCAGGCGTACCATTTGGCGACGCGCGAGACCGCAGCTCCAAAATACCCATCTCGACTCCATCCAACGCTCCCCAACAAACGTGGTAGCTGAGACACGATTTGAGTCTTTTACCGAACAACTTATCGTTCGGAAAAAGACCCATATTTCAGCTCAGAGCGACTCAGCCAGCACCGCCCGGTTGAGAGACGATCCCAGGGCCTACCGGTGCGAACGCACCTCTGAGTGGCTGGGTTTCTGATATTTTTGGCGTCGATGGCTCTGATTGAGCCGTATGCGCAGGTGGGATGCTCGCACACTGCAGATTGGGTACCTATGGTGTAGATGAGAGCACGAGGCCGTCCTTCAGAGACAATCCCTGAGTTTTTTAGTCCTCCTAGAGACTCACTAGTCTGTGTATATTGGGGTGTGGTGTCTCGCGGCCACTGGTGTGATTGAGCCTGTCTTCCCTCCTGTCACCTCCGATATGACCCCACGGCGACCTCCCCCAGCGGGCGCTTCGTGCAAAGGGGTGCGTTATCGTTGCAACAGGGCCTGCAGCTGCCGATCAGGACTCTCTGCCAGACAGAATAATCATGCTATCTCTCTACAGCTCGTCACTTGTCAGTCCATCCACATCACGCCGTGATTGGGTCGGCCGCGGTGCTGTAGAATCCCAGCCTGCGTGGCGCTAGAAATCAGGAGTCATTGACCTTTTAGGGCCAAGGACCGACCAAAAATGAGGTCAGACTAATGTCAGATTACAGACAATAGCTTCCATTATAGACTGGCATCGAATAGCGGTGCTCTGTCAGGTATCCTACACCAATCTCCATGTTCAGGGAAACGGACGTTCTAGAACATCACAGTTCTATGGCCAGTCAACTGCGTGACTTCGAAGATGTGTAATTGCTACTTTGGTGTTTTTCTGATTAATTTAGGTCATCAGATTGATTTGAATATCAAGACATTTCCTGCTATATCACCCCATAACCCGATATGAATATGACACCCAAATATACTATAGATAGAGTGATATACTTAAGTTTAATAGGGAATTTATGGCGTCCTGGAGCATCTACTGAGAAAATAGATATATTTCTCCTCGGAGGTGACTGTGCTAGATCCTCCGAAGACATGAAACCAATTCACCTTCCAGTCTGCCCTAATGAGAATACAAAGCATCTGCGTTGTGGCCTCTCGCCCAGGACCAGCGCAATCTCCTCTTTCAATAAACGAGAAACAAGTTATCTAAAATGTCTCACCCAGCGACTCTGAGGCCACAGAGCCGACCATGGATGAACCTCATTGGTGCAACTTCCGACACTCAAAATAGTCATCGAAACCAGTTGCAGTGGAAAATGAATGCATTAATGAATCAATGAATGAACTTCCGCCCTCTCTCAAATCATCAGAACATCTCTGATGTTTCTTTCACGGTCCGACCGTAGCATAAGGGAAACAATCTGGCCCAGAAATTGAACAAACCGATTTGACCGTGAGTCTCCTTTTGCGACATTAACCATCGAGCGAACGTGCACTCTGAACGAGTCCGATTGATGCTTCGAAAGCAGACAATCTACAATGAGGTCAGACAGAGGGAAGACCGAAGACTAACAATGGTTTCAAACAATAGATCACTCACCTCATCATACCTTTGCAGGGCAAGATAGTATTGCACCGAAAGACCGAAATTCCTCCTCAACGTCTCCTTTTTGATCTTCCGCGCCGCAGTCCTATACAGCAGAGTGACTCTCGCTTCATCCATGCCCTCATGAGAACTGGCAGTGATACCTCCTGGCATCTTCCACTCACTCCGTTTGTACACAACCTCGACGAGACGCGTAAGGATATCGGCTTGCCATGTCATCAGAAGCTCCCCGTGAGAGGCTATGTGGCTTTGGACTCTCATGACGTCTAGCTCGAGCCCAACAAGATTATCGCTTAGATTTTTTGCTCTGCTTTCTAGTAGTCCATTGCTGGCATGCAATGCCTTCAGAGTAGCTGAGTATCTCTGGCAGGCGTTCGAGGTTCGTATGTCTGTGTTGCTTCCATCCCGGATGCCGATTGACCTCTTCGACCTCATCACAGTGGAATCAGCAACATCCCTAAGTGACATGCCGGACGATCCCACGGGCGTAGTAATTCGTGCTAAAGACTTTCCGTGAGCCAGATAAAAGGATAGACCAGGCCCGTATAACTGCACGATATCGTCACTCATCTCCGGGACCCCAGGACGCCGAAGCTTCGTGATTAAAACAACTAATGAATGGAGTGACACTTCCTTAAGATATGCAGATATATGTGTCACAGGCTATAATGATGGCGCTATACTGGTTGTTCTCTGAAAAGGTCTTGCTACGCCGGGTCCTACAGATAGGTCGATCTAGCGGCCTGGTAGGATGAGTTCCAAGGAAAGCGCGACCCGGCGGACTAGATCATATCAAAGGTAAGCGTACTCATGACTACAAAGAATATCTATTCATCACTCGTTCTAGGCCTTTGTGGTTGCTGTATACCAAGTTCATCGGCAATCACACGGTGAGCCTCATCCATCCCGACCGGGACAATGTATACATACCTCACTATACGATGAGATTCGCTAATGATTCAAGTACCAAGTTAGATCCTTACAATTTGCATCCCGAAGCCTTCCCGAATTCGACGACCAACTTCCCGAACTGCTTGCCTTCCTTCATATCCTGGAATAGCCCGTCGAGCCCGGCGATGTCACCCAGCTCGGTCTGCAGAACGCGCGAGATCACCGGGTGGATCTTGTTTGCTCTGACGAACTCAACCATCTCTTCGAATTCCTTGCGGGAACCCATAGTCGAGCCACGGACGTCAATGTTCTTCAAGACAGCTTGCATCAAGAAAGGCATCTTGGGAGAGACAGTCATTCCATAAACCGAGAGCACACCGCCAGCCTGGGCCTTGTCAGTGACATATAAACAAATATGATGCATAGATATCGAGAGGCTCACCTTGAGCAATTTGACCGCCTTCTCAACCGAATCGCCACCGGCGCCATCAATAATAGCATCGAAAGCCTTCTTTCCCGGGGGGAGCATCGTAAGGAGCTTCTTCTCCCAGGCTTCTTCCTTGTAGTTTACACCACCCTTTGCACCTAATTCGATTGCCTTCTGAATCTTCTCCTGGCTGGAGCTTGTCACGTAGACATCTGCGCCCTTGGCCACGGCGAACCGAAGTGCCATCAGTGCAACACCCCCTCCAATACCAGTAAGCAAAACCGCAGCACCCTTGCCCGAGTTTCTCTCGCCCGCCTTGACCACCAAGGCTCTCCATGCGGTCAATCCCGTCAAGGGCAAAGCAGCGGCCTCCGCATCGGACAAGTGCTCGGGGGCTTCTTCGACCTCGGACTCGTCGATGGTGAGGTAGTCCTGCATGGTTCCCTTATTGTAGAGCTTAGTACCGCCCATGATCCGATAGCCCTTGGGGTCTTCCGGTCCATCAGGCGAGTCCTTCCAACCCGTTCCCGGGTTCAGTATCACCCGCTTGCCCTGCCACCGCTCTGGGTTCGACACCGCGGGACCAGCACCGACGACCACGCCAACACCATCTGCCCCCAGAGGAACGTCGAATGTAATACCGGGGTAAAGATGCTGGCGCAGGAAGACATCACGATGGTTCAGCGACGCCGCGGTGAGTTTCACCAGTAACTCGCGACCCTCCGGTGTCGGCAGGGGTAGGTTTTGAACGGAGAGGGGATAGTAAACCTGCCCGGGTTTACCCTCCGTTCGGGAGAGAAAGACTGCTTTTGACATTTTGAATATGGATTTGCTTTTGTTTGTTGTGCTCTACACTGTGGATTCGTAAAGGAAGTAATGGATGTCCTTAAATTTGGTGTTCTTCGGTGTTGCTTAGTCGTGGTGCGGGGAATATATTTATTTGTATATATAAGCTCGGGGTTGGGGTTATCGATAACCGATGACTGCCGGGTGTCCGATTACAATATCTTGTTTGGATAGAATCGTGCACAATCCAGATGACAAGGGATTGAATCAGTCGAGAGTTCTATCTCAAGTTATATCTAATTCAGATCACATAGATCCTCGATCCGAACGAAGGCGTGTTTCTGGTAGGTTCGTCTTCTGGCACCGCAGCTTGGCGGCATTGAACCGAGGTTGAATTCAATTAGCTTGAACATGTCGCTCCTTTCCTGTAGAGTTTTATAGACAAAGAACAGCTGCCTATTATAGTCTAATAGGTACTTTTACTGCAATCAACATACTGTGTCAGAGGTTCGCAGACGATCTCATCTGCATACCAAACAAAGCCTGTCCATTATGCATTGGCTACGCTCCAGGTATTCTATGCCTATACACACAGCTCACAAGTATTGAGTGAATATTAGATTATATTACCTCTCAATCCCAGAATAAAACGCAATGATCACAAGACGAGATCAATTTCATTATGATCCACTAAGTCTTTGTTCAAGGGAGAAGCGCAGCCAGCGCGGCGACAAAGGATCCATCTATACACAATCTCTACTGGAGACTTTCCTTTGTACGGTTCACGAGGGACTGTAGTTCTTTCTACCTGGTTACTTTTACCTCAATGTAAATGGGAGATATCATACTCATTCAAGACCCTTTACCTGTCCTCTTCCTTCCCCTTATCCCCAATACCTAAGAAGAGAGCAGAAGATCTCCAGTTCCTCCATATCAACCATGGACCCAAGATATCGATTGATATCAAGTCACATGCAGCCCGGTATGCCAGTTCACCGACATGAGCCACGAAAACAGCCCAAAACAAATAAAACACTGTCTAGAGCGGTCTTCTGTCAGGAGAGAAACTGCCGGTGGCGTGGGCACAAGGGCCACATAAAAAACAAAAATTAAAAAAAA